GGAGGCCAGAAAAGGGGCATCAGATCCCCTGGAACTGTAATTATAGAAGATTGTGAACTGCTATGTAGGTGCTGGGAGTTGAATCCAGGTTCTCCGAAAGAACAGCCAGTGCTCTTAACTGTTGAGCAGAACATCTGAGAATATAAGACATAAGCACTCAGGGGGGAAAACTGAATTCTGGAAAATTAACAAAATTAATTAAAAAATTAATTAAAAATTAACAAATAAAACCTCAACAGAAGGATGAGAAGATAAACAGTAAGGGAATCTGCTGTGGGATGTTCTGTATGGCAAATGTGTTGCTGATTAGTCAATAAATAAAACACTGATTGGCCATTGGCTAGGCAGGAAGTGTAGGCGGGACAAGGAGGAGAATAAAGCTGGGAAGTGGAAGGCTGAGTCAGAGAGACACTGCCAGCCACCACCATGACAAACAGCATGTGAAGATGCCGGTAAGCCACGAGCCATGTGGCAAGGTATAGATTAATGGAAATGGATTAATTTAAGCTGTAAGAACAGTTAGCAAGAAGCCTGCCATGGCCATACAGTTTGTAAGCAATATAAGTCTCTGTGTTTACTTGGTCGGGTCTGACGGCTGTGGGACTGGCAGGTGAGAGAGATTTGTCCTGACTGTGGGCCAGGCAGGAAAACTCCAGCTACAGGAATCTCTTGGAAAATACAAGAAAAAGTTAGGAGACAGAAAACACACCCTCAATGGGCTTCATAAAAACAGTTAGGTCAATCTGCCACACAAGGCCCCGAATGCTGCTTTCAACATAGAGAAGCCCCCTTCCTCAATTAATGGTGGTGAATGCATACATGTCTGGCTGATCAAGGTGCTGAGAAGAAGTGATGTTGAGTGCTCATCCTTTGCCAGGACATTGAAAGCACTCCCTCTGCAGCTCAGAGAGCATCTGAGCGGGGTACGAAGAATATAAGGGTTGTGAAATGCTCTGTCAGGCCGAACACAGCCACTGCAGTCACGATCGCACGGCGTCTGTGCTTTGCCTGCAATGGACCTGCACGAGACTGGCGCTGTCAAGGGTTAGTCATGGACAGGGGAGGGGCTCACTGGGGCCCTACCCCTCCCACCTGATGGAGTCTGGGGGAGAGGCAGCCACTCTCTTGAGTGATGTATCCATTGAGGATCCACCAGGCTCCCATGGATAGCCCCAAAGCCATGGTTACACAGACAACCCTGGGTAAAGTCACTGAGTCACAAAACGAAACAGAAAGACATGAATGTTGGAAATTGGTGGAAGGGAGAGGGGGGAGGGTGGGGGTGACAGTAGCCAGGATGTACTATACACATACATAAAATTGTCTAAGAACAAATTGATGAAGTCTTTAAAGCCGGTGGTGGTGGCATACACCTTTAATCCCAGCACTCAGGAGGCAGAGGCAGATGGATCTCTAAGTTCAAGGCCAGCCTGGTCTACAGAGCAAGTTCCAGGACAGCTAGAACTGTTACACAGAGAAACCCTGTCTCTAAAAATAAAAATGAAAATGAAAAAATGAGGTTAATACTACTAATCAGATGCTGTAAAAGGAGCAAGCAAGCTGAGTACGTAGGCATATGCCTATAATCCTAGCATGTGGGAGACTGAGGCAAGAGGACCAGTGGTGGTAAAAGTCAGATTTGGGTTCACAGTGAGACCTTGTTTCCAAAATAAAAATAAAGAAGTTGCCAAAGAAATATTGCAATGCGATTTCTTGGTCTGAAATATGTGTGCTTCCAAATCAGAGTCCTGCTGAGTGCCTCATACACAATGAAAATGATTCGCACCAAGATTCATCATCATGAAGGTTCTGAACAGCACAGATAAAGATTCTCAAAGTCTCAAGACAGCCACATGGGTGGTGATGGAGAGAAAAGACAAAAACAAAACAAAACTGCCCAGAAGACTGGGCATCTTGATGCCCTGGCATGGTGGCAGGCACTGTGGCTACCATCACAGGCAAGCTCACTGGAATCTTGTGTATTCCAGACGTACATACAATCTGACATCCCATCAGTCGACACAAACAAATGAAATACGCCCTAGGCCCAAAGCTGGTGATACATAGTAAAACTGGTTCAGTCAGATCCCCGTGTTCAGTGAGTGTCCTGCTAGTGAGTTCTCCTGTAAACTGGTTGGACACTCCTACACAGTGCAAAACATCTCCGAGGCCCAGCTGACTAAGACACCGGGAGTTCAGTGGAGCGTTCAAACTTGGAGCCAACAACTACAGAGAACTGGTTTCCTTCTACACCACCCTAGCCTCCTTTTCCTTTCATTTGTTCCTTCTGGTTTGCCCAGGGGATGGCCACAGTACCCATGTGGTAGCAGTGGCAGCCTGGGTCTTGGGGCAGCTAAAACTCTAACAGAAAGCATCTTTAGCAGGACGAAACAGGCTACTAGAAAGTGAGGACAAGCCAGGAGAGTCAGAGATGGAAAAACCCAAATTCAGCTCAAGTTTCTCCCTTGAAAGGACATACACAGCAGGCAAACTGAGCGGCCTGGAATCCAAACTGACCTGAGATCTGAGCCGCCGCCCACTGCAGGGCAGAGCACTGTTGGAAGTTTGCAGTATGAGTCTGACTAAGTGGCTTGTCTGCTAAAAACAAAAACATGCTTTGACGCAATCTAACAGGATCCATTCTCTACAATACACCAACCACAATGTCCACGACACAGTCCAAAGCCATTCAACACAGGAACGCCCAGAAAAACAAGATATCAACTTCAAGTTACCTACATGCTGAAAAGACCGAGACATGGGCCTTTACAGTTTTATTTAATTATGATTTTATTTTACATATGTATGTACATTTTATGTATGAGTGTTTTGCCTACACGCCTGCCTGTGCACCATATGAATGCCTCATGTCCATGGAGGCCATCAGAGGGTATTGGATTCACTGGAACTCAAGATACAGACAGTTATGAGTGACCACGAGGGTGCTGGTAATTGAACATGGATCCTCTGGAAGAATTGGCTCTTAACAACTGAGCCATATCTACACACACACACACACACACACACACACACACACACACACACACACACACACACACACACCACCCTTTTGAGACAGGGTCTCACTATGTTGCCCAGACTGGCTGGTCCCGAACTCCTGCATTCAATGGATCTTTCTGCCTTTACCCTCCTGAGCAGTGCTATGCTATGACACATGCTACTCACCTGGTTCCCCCAAGGGTTTGAAAGCAGATATATTACGTACTTGTCTTGGGAAGTGAAGAAAAGCACACTGGGAAGGAATAAAATGATGGGGCATCTCAACTGAGAAACAGAACACTACAAAGAGCCGAAGTGCCTAGTCTCAGTCTCTAAGCCATCACCATCAGTCTACAAAACACTGTGTCCTCAATGACTGGTGGTCACTGGGAAAATCAGATTCATTGATGGTGATGTGGAAAGTCAGGAGACGATGGAGCAATGCTTACAAATCCAGACAAATACAGTCTAACACCACTGCCAACCTATCGATCTCTCACCAGACAGATGACCGAGCAGGCTTGCAAATAAAGATACATGTAGGATCTTAAAAATGCATTTTCCAGGTGCCCTTTTTGGAGAACGTTTGGAGTATCATGCTTTATGAAAATGACTAATAATCATTCAAAAAAAAAAAAAAAAAAGGACAGGGGTTCCAACAAACCAGAAAAATGAAGTGAATTTCATGCTGTAAGGAAGCTTCTAGATGCCTGCTGAGCAGCAAGCTGAGAGCAATCTGTCTAGATCTGAAGCAGGAGGGTGAGGGCTCCAGGGGGGCATGACCCAGAACACACATACACACACACACACACACACACACACACACACACACACACACACACACACACACACACATACTCACACACAAATAAATATGCATGCATGTGCATAAATACACACACAAAAGAAAACATGATTTAAAATGGTGGACTGTATGAAGAATAACTTTGTAGTACTGGTAGAGAATTTGGAGATGAATTCCTGATAAATACATCCATGATATGTATACTAACTCCAGGAAAATGAAAGTTATACAAAAAATATGATTGGCCGGGCGGTGGTGGCTCACGCCTTTAATCCCAGCACTCGGGAGATAGAGGCAGGGGGATCTCTGTGAGTTCGAGGCCAGCCTGGACTACAGAGTGAGTTCCAGGAAAGGAGCAAAGCTACACAGAGAAACCCTGTCTCGAAAAACCCCAAAAAAACAAAAAAAAAAACAAAAAAAAAAACCAACAAAAAGTATGATCATAGTATATCATCTGGTGTCACTGCAGTATATTAACATGGGAATGAGTACTATTTTGATAAAAATAAAGACGAGCATATATATGTACACATATATATGCCTTTTGTTTTTATTTTTAAGAGGGTCTTTTGTAGCTCAGGCTCACCTGAAACTCAAGATGAGGCTGAAGATGACCTTGTGATTACAGCCCGAGTGTGGCTACCCTGGGCCACCACACCCCGTCCTGTTTCAGGACTTTTGCTCTTAGAAACAAGTCTTTGTCTCTTCCATGCATGTGGGTGAGAGTTTCTGGGAGTAGAGTTACTGGGTTTCATAAGCAAGGGTGTTTTGAGATACTGCCAAACTGCCTCAGTCAATTTAGACTCCCACCAATACTACTCACCAAAGCTTTTGGCCCCTGCCATTCTGAACTATAATACCACATTAATGAAAGTCTGAAAATAATGTCAAGTGTTTGGGGTTTGTTTGTTTGTTTTTGTTTTTTGAGACAGGGTTTCTCTGTGAAGCCTTGACTGTCCTGGAACTCGCTCTGTAGACCAGGCTGGCTTCAAACTCAGAGATCTGCCTGCCTCTGCCTCCCGAATGCTGGGCTTAAAGTCATGGGCAACCACCACCCAGCTAATTTCAAGTATTTGTAAAGGGCCCAACATATAACCCCTAAGACATCTCTTCGAATTTTATATTTCTTTCCAGACTTTTAGCTTTTCTTGACCAATTGCTCTCGGAGGACTGGGGACCACGTGACTTCTCCCACCTTGCTATCCATTCGGCAGTGCCTTCAAAGAGGTCTGGCGTGATGATGTTGGTTAGAGAAGCCACTGAGGCAGCACAGTACGCGCTTCTGGAAAGACAGAAACAGAGGGAACATGTTAGGCTCCGAGAAAAAGCCAGGACAAGGCTCAGCAGACTGCTCGGGTGGACGGTTCACTTTGCCTAGTCAGCTGCAGTCACATTCCGTCTCGCTCCTGGCACACAGTCATTCTTTCTGCGTCTCCGAGAGGTGTGACATTCTGTCTGGATAGAGTTGCTCACCACACGGCTTCAGTGAAGGAACATGACATTCTAGTCTCCCGGCCTCCACACAGGCAGACCGACCCTATCAATTCATCTCAAAAATAGATTCAGCCTTTTTTTTCAAAGACTTAGAACAGTGGCCACCGGCTCATCCAGCTGTTGCTGAGGCTCTTCTCACTCATGCAGACGTCTCTCTGCTGCAGACTGGGGACCTCTGTCTGGACTAAGGATGTGTGTGTGAAAAGTTAGCTCTACCTTTCCTCCAACAGACACACTCCAAAGCAGGCCACCACACCCTAATGGCTGCTTGGGCGACACAAACGAGACGGGAATAGACACCCTTCGGCCTCTAGAGAAAAGAGCTCTGATTGCAAGCCCTTGGTCAGACATACACAGAAACACACATTTCGGTGGAAAAGGAGGAAGAGGGCTCAGGATGTGGCTCAGTGGGTAAAGTGCTTGCCAAGCACGCACAAAACCCTCCGTCTGACTGGGTATGGCAGCGCTTGCCCATAATCTCAGCACTCAAGAGGTAGAGGCAGGAGGATCACAAATTCAAGGTCATCCTCAGGTACACAGCAAGTCTGAGGCCAGCTTTGGATCATGAGACACTGTTTCAATTTTTTTTTAAAAAAAGCAAAGGTAGAAACGTATCTTTTGGGCAGGGTAATTCTAGGGATTTAACCTGGGCTTTGTACATACCATGCACACTCTCTTCCACCAAGCTATATTTCTAGCTCTTCTCTGAAAATGAGCAAAGAAAATAAAATCAAATGTATCCATTTGATCTGAGCTAACTCTTGTCATTCTATTCTTCAGCCATGATTCTTCTCAGGACACCCTTTCATCTTCTCCATCCGTCACGGAACACATCCATAGACTGGTTTTTTGGTTTGTTTGTTTTCAAATACAAAGCATGGAAAGAGAAAAATTATTTGTTTTAATTCTACTCATGAATTCTTTTTCTCCGAGCTCAGAGGGAACATGAAAGGGAAGGAAACAAAGCTTGGCTTCCAGCGTCTTAGTTGTATAGACTGAACACGGAGCCACACGTCCTGGGGCATTCCACGGGACTCTCTGCAGAAGCCATGGGCATGACGGTCCTGCCAGCACTGGGACCAGCCAGGCTCCCATTGGCCAAAGGCGCAGCAGAGGCATCCAGAGCAGGCAAGGGGCAAGTGTGCTGGCGCCAAATGTTGTCATTTGCCATATGTTAACTTTGAAGGTATGATCTAATTTCCTCCAGGCCTGGAGCCTCTCACAAAGGCTCCGCAGTGTTTTCAGAGGCCCTTGAATCCTCCTGAGGCAGGGAGCAGGGATTGTGATGTACTCTGCCTCTCATCAGTGGAAGAAGTGACAGGGGAGGCAGTTGTGGAATTCTGTCCTCTGGGGGTGACATGGTGCTACAGTCTTGAAATCGGAGCAGTTGTGATTACTGAATGGGATCCTCACAAGACAGTGTCTATTAATCCTCCTGTGTAGGAGGAGGCAGGAGGAAGGGCAGCAGGCCCTTAGTGGACATTCCAGTCACTCCTTTTCTGAAGGGCACCCCCCACTAGCTGCCAGTTAATCCTGACCCAGTTGCACATGGTCTTAGGTGCTAGAGATTGTAGGAGGTAGAAGGTTGACTTGGGGGTGAGGATTCTAGTGATGCAGCTATCATGACTAAATTGTTTCTTTGGTCTGTTATTGCCCTCTGTGCTAAGGGTGAATAGAAACACAATCCCCCGCCCAGGTTGAGGCACACAATAATGGCTGAACGGGATACACAGAACCAAAGATGAGTTGGGGGAGTGCAGTTCAATGGCCTCTGCTAAGGTAGACAGGACAGCAACCGAGGCTGAGCTGTTCTGAGACCTTCCATGGGGGCAGGTTCCAGTGTGGCCATCTTTCCCCAGGTGGTATGGGTTAGCATGTAGCCCTGCTGGAATGGAGACTGTGTGTTCCCCCAATACTGATGTAAGACATGAAGCAGAAGCTGAGCTGTCTGCCCCCCAGAAGGAACGTCAGTATCCAAAGTCTGCGGGAGACATCCCAGTGGAACTGACTTCTTCTGAGTGGCACAGGGTGACATGCTCCTTGATGACTATATTGGAGACACCTCCAGATGGCTCAAGAATCTATTACAATCCCTGATGGATTCCATGCACAGATGGACCAGGACTGCAAGAACACCAAGGCCACAGCTGATAAGACATGCGGCTGAAAGTGGGCTGTCTGCCCAGAGGGAGGATTTTGCCCACATGAAACACAATGAAAGCAATAGAACCTTTTGAACCTCACTAACAGTTTTAAAAAATATCCCCCTAGCCACTAAATCCTAAAACCTATTCTCACATGTTCGGAATAGCCAATGGTGGACATTGGGAGATCATACCACCCCCTCCCCTTTTTGAAAAGGTTTCCTTATGCAGTGTTAACCTCTAGGCTCTCTAACGATTTGGAAAAGCATCTAAAAGAACAGAAAAACACAAGTTAAAGAATTTGAATGTATCCTGGGTGTTGGGGTATCTCCCTACATGTTATTGGCAAGGGACACCCCTAAAGTCCTGCTCTACAGGCTACACTACTACAGCTACACCCCAGCACTAAATGGTAAGACCCTATTGCTGAGAAGAGCACATGCTCTGCTTGCAGAAGATGGAGGAATCAAGCTGGGCCTGAGCCAGACGCTCACTCCCCACTGGCTGAGTTTTGTGGGGCCACAAGACACTATCCTGGCTGCTGGGAGAAAGCTGACAGTCCTGCTTGGCTGTGCACACTGTGTGTTGATGCCAACAACATAGCAGGCAAAATGTGCCTGCTGGTGAAACAATGGTGCAACTGTTATAGATATAACCAACCACTTTCTTCATGGAGAGAAACTATGTTTGGTACTGTAAACCAGGGGCCAAAACCTGTGCAAGCAGGAAGGCTACTGCTACTGTTTTGTTAAATAGCTGTGATCTGTCTATCAATTTACCTTCTAGACATTTGTCATTACATCCACAGGTTACTGCTACTGTGGAGCCTAAATGGAAGAAACCTTTTTATAGCGGACAGCAGTTACTAGAGAAACTCATAATTGGTCAAATTGCTAGGTTCTATATTATTCTATATTGTTGCTCAGCAAATAACCACACATCCATGTAACTCCAAAGTTCAGGGAGCATTGCAGAATAAAAGTATGTAAAAACCAGAAGGGGTGGAGTATTGCAGAGTCCTGACCTAGGCATGACATGACTGCTGTCATCTTGAAAGCAGAGCATCTGTGATTACCCATGTGACACTCAGAAGATTAAGCCAATTGATGTTCCCTTGTTAGAGAATGGTAGGGAAGGATCTTTAGACCTTCACCCGAGACTCCAGCCACTCACTCCTGACCTCCACCAGGTTCGTGTAATCCTGACCCAGTGACATGTGGTTTAGGTGGTACATAGGATTGGGGATGGGAATCCCAATGAGGCAGCTTTTGTGAACCACCACTCGTGATTTTTAGTGATGCAGATGCCCAGGTCACCCATGCCCCTACGAACAACCCCAATCAATTCAATGGTTCAACAAGCAGGGCTTGGAGGAAATCTGCTTTGCTCTGTTGTTGCCCTCTCTATCTGAGATGAACAGAAATAGACTCCCAGGAAAGTCACACAACAGATACCCAAACCACTAGTCCTGGATCACGCCGAGAAACGGGGAGGGGACACGGTACAACTTTTCATGTCGTTTCTCCCTGTCTCCCCGTATCCAGCATCACGGCTCTCAAGCCTGTCTGCTGTTCTCTTCCCTCACCACTGTTATCCTAACCCAAGTCATTAGCATCCACCTGGACCAGCCTCCCATGTGTCTCCCTCCTTCCAGCACAGAAACCAGAGGACATTCACTAGAACGCTATAATCCCTTCACCGCAACCAGAGAACTAACAGTACAAATCAGATCAGGTCACCGCCTACTGAAAACCCATCAGAACTTACCTGCCAGCCTCCGTAATGAGCCTCTCCAGCTCTCTGTTCCCACCGCTGCCCCCGAGGCCTCCTACAATTCAGTAGCATTCAACCCACTTCTCGGCCCTTGAACACATCCTGCACTGTCACTTGCTGTCTCTCGTCCATCCCCAGAGGACACTACAAACTCTATAGTTAATTCAGAAAATGAATAAATAATGACTCTTTTTTTTTTTTCTTTTTTGAGACAGGGTTTCTCTGTGTAGCTCACAGAAATCGGCCTGCTTCTGCCTCCTGAGTGCTAGGATTAAAGACGTGTGCCACCACGGCCCAGCTGTATGTTTATTTTTCCAGTACTAGGTATTGAACCCAGCGTCTCAAAGTGTGGTCGTCTGAATAGGAATGGCCCGCACAGACTCACTGTTTGAACACTTGGTACATAGAGAGTGGCACTATTAGGAGGTGTGGCCTTGTTGGAAGTGCATCACAATGAGGCGGGCTCTGAGGTCTCAGAAGCCCAAGCCAATCTCTTCCTGCTGCCTGCCAATTCAGATGTAGAACTCTCAGCTCTTCTCCAAGGAAACTGGAAGACATCTACAGGTTTGGTCTGTCATTCAAATCTTTCATCCACTGGACAAAGAACAACCAAGAGCTCAATGGCAGACGGGTCCCAGGACCATGGTAGGAGAGGCTTATGGCCAGGTGCTCCTTAATGGAACACATCAAATTGACAGAAGTTGCCTGCATTTGTCTAGCATATATGAGTAAGAAAACACAGAAAAAGCTCTGCCTGCCTCTGCCTCTGCAGTGGTGGGAGGAAAGGCACATGCCACCACACCCAGTTGTTTTGAGATAGGGTTTCTCTGTGTAGGCCAGGCAGACCTTGAACTCACTATTCTCCTGCCTCAGCCTCTTGAATGCTGGATGTTCTGTGTGTGCTACCATGCCCAACTCCAATTTATTATTTCTATTTATTTATTCATTATTTTTATTTTTGGCTTTTCAAGATAAGATTTCTCTGTGTACCCCTGGCTGTCCTGGAACTCACTCTATAGACCAGGCTGGCCTCTGCCTCCCGAGTGCTGTGATTAAAGGCATGCGCCACCACATCCTGCTCAATTAATTATCAAAAACTAGATTGCCTTGCAAACTGCCCACCACTCTCTAACAGCAGTGCGGCCTCTAGCTGAGCTCTGGCCGCACGTCAAGGCAGGCAAGGAAGTTTCCATGCCTGGTTCAGACAAAGCAGATTGACAGCAGAGTCAAGTACCCAGGAAACAACCGACAACGAAAGCCACTGAAGAGAGTGTGCCCTCTCCTGGAGGGGTGCTGAAGTTTCGTCGCTACAGCCTGGTACTGTGTCTCTTGACGAAATCAGATGCTATCAGAACTTACCCTCCAGCACTGCTTTCTGGTCCTGGTGGAGAAACTGCTCAGGACTTCAGAACAGACCGGGGTTTCCAGAGCTCGGCTGCAGGGCCTTGTAGGAGGCAAACCAGGCCTATCTGGCTGGCCTGCTTTCTTTAAAATTGTTTACAATTATTTTCATCGTGTGTCAAGTGGGGTGTTCACCTACTCCAGCACACGTGTGGTCTGTTCACCCCTTCTACCAGGAATGGAACTTGGGTCCCCACGATGGTGAGGTAAATGCCTTTACCTGTGAGCCATCTCACTGATTCCTGGTTGGCTTTTCTGAAGACATCGTGCTACCCATGCCAAAAGTGCAACACTTATGCCAAAAGCTACACAGCTAGCACATCACTGTGAAAAACATGTTCAAGAATCCACCATGAGGCCAGACACTGGGGGGAGACAGGCGGATCTCCAGGAGTTCAAGGCCAGCCTGGTCGACATCACAAGTTCCAGGCCAGCCAGGGCTACACAGTGAGACCCGTCACAAAATAAAACAACACACACACACACACACACACACACACACACACACACACACACACACACACACACAAAAGATATCTCTGTCATTCTGATATAAAAGCTTAACCTCCTCCCAAAAATGTATTTCTCCAAGACTAAATGATATACGATCTCAATGATCCACTGCACTCGAGAAATCACTTATTCCGTAAACTTTACATGCCTCATAGGTGGATTGTCCACAGGTCAGGAAGCTACTTGCTAGTGTAATGAATATATTTATTTTTTCCCTTTTCTTCTTTATAATTCAGACAGGGTCATGTAGCCTAGGCTAGCCTTGAACTCATGATATAGCCAAGGATGACCTTGAACTTCTGACCCCCCTGCTTTGACCTCCAAAGAGCTGAGATCATGTTCACAGACCACCACACCTGGTCAGATACACTTCTTGAGTAAAACACTAGGTTTGAGCCAACGGGTACCAAGTAGTTGGTTCAAGTCCACTACACTGCAGTCTACTGGCCCACAAGGCATTCTGCACCCCACAGAGGAACTCTCATGTGCCTTGGATGTTCCGCACCTTCGGGATTTAATTAAATGCAACCAGAAAGTATTTACAGAGTCAACTCTAGGCTTGCTTCTCCAAGAGGTAAAAGATTATAATACATTGTGTAATTACCTACATTAAACTAATTTACACTGAACAAATGTATTTTGTATTTAAACCTAAAGCATTTGATTTTGTTTTTATCCAACTCATATTTTGACATTTACATAAAAGAAGCTAAGAGATAGCGACACTGGAGGACCTTAACACCATGACACTGTACCAGGGACACAACATTTGCATATCAGTCTATGGGACAAAGCAGCAGTGTGCCATGTTTCTCGGGGCTTAGCTGCTCTAAGAATAGGTACATTCCAGAAGCCATGGAGGCAACTGTCCCACTCACCTCACATCCACCTCACCTCCAACGTGCATGAGAAAAGAGCCATCGGGTTGCTTCAGGGAGTATAAATACTGAAGAAGCTTCTCTCTGAGAACAGTGGAGAGAGAGCAGAAGTGGGATGTGGTCAGTCAGTGCAGCAGAGGAGGCGGAACACTCCCGAGTCCGTGTCGTGTCCCCCTCCCCCATCCGTGCCGGCTCCCCCCCCAGCTGCCTGCAGCTTTACCTGTTAATGACGTTGTAGGCTTCTTCCGTGGCAATGATACACAGCGCATTGACAGCTGCGTATGTGGGTGCAAGGTGTGGGTACTGCCCAGGGCCCCCTCCAAAGCCACCTTCTGGACTCTGACACAGCTCCAGGAACTGACACACGCTAGGTACACGGCCAAGGGAAAGATAAAGTTAGACGGCACTCATTTCCACATATCAAATGCCTTTGCGATTCCCACCTTTTCTACTCATCCCTCTGCCTTCAAAGGGGTGAAAATCCCCTCCTTGCCACTTGACTACAACCACCCAAAAGACTTAACTCTTTATCCAGTTCTGGGCACACTCCACGGTCTTTTATTTAAGCATCTGTCTTGTTCTTGCGTGAGGATGGGAGGAAACCTTTCACAGACCTGGGGCAGTCTCATGCTTCCTGACCAAATCTTTCTCTTTATTTTTCACTAAACTTGTCGCCCTGGATCTGTAGCATTACAGTCTGCTCTTCTGAGGACCTTTGGATTCTGCCTCTGGCTCAGGGCTCACCTCACTTTTCTCGCTAGTCACTGGTCCACGTGCATTTCCCGGGCCCATGAACACGCTTCCTCACTCACTGTCCCCGGAGCCCTGGCAGGCAACATCTTTCTGCTCCCACCACCAGTTTTGGGAAGAAGCCAGTTTTGAGTGCAGTCCGCTCCATCTTGGGGGGCGGGGGGGGGGGGGGCAGACGGCGCAAGAGGGCATTGTTGGGGTTTGAATGTGAAAGGCCCCCCAGCACCCAGAGGCCCACTTAGTTGAAACTGTCTCCCCAGCTGGTGACGCACGCTGTTTGTGGAACCTTTAGGAGGTAAAACCTCGCAGGAAGCTGGGACTTGGGTGGGTCCTGAACGAGGTGGACTTCCTGTGCCTTCTCTCGCCTTCTGAGTGTACACATGAAACCAGTTTCCTGCTCTTGCCACGATGTCTTCCCTGCTCTCATGGACTACACTCCTGGAGCTGTAAGCCCGTACAAACCCTTTCTCCCGTAAGCTACTTTTTTTTCTTCTCTTCTTTCATTTTGTTTTTCCACCGAGGCACTGTATTTATACATGTGTTTTACACACCTAGAAGAAACATCCCAGTGTTCTTCCCTCCTGTGTGCGTTTGTCTTGCTGCTGCACGGCCCACGATGCCAGCTGAGGTTGTCGGCACAATGAAACCAAACTGACGGCATTGTTCTGCCATTTTTCTAGGTCTCTGAGCTGCACGTCAGGTCTGGGCTGCTCACCCCCCACTTCAGCCTCCTTGTGAGGTTACAGGGATTTTACCAGCTCTCTGATCGGTGGTGATTTCAAACTTGCCCAAGGAACCATGCTTCATCATCACACTTGGGAGCCAGACAATGACTCTGGAGCACAGCCTGAGAAGGATCCACGTTCGCCTCACTATTCGGCATTGTTGATGCTTTTCAGAACATCAGCCAGGACATTCACGAGCACCGTTAGAGCGGCGTGGAAAGACAGCAGAAAGAGTTGAGGTGGCTTTTGTCGGGGCATTTTATCATGGCGACGCAAAGGGACCTAAGACAGGCATCCTGACGCACATCACAAGGCATCTCAGTCTGAGACTTTTTCACGCTAAACTACAGAGGCCCCAGTTTCCTCCTCACGAAGGACATCGGCTCCTGGAGGATTTGCTGCTGGGCATGGATGGCATCAGTTACACTTTTGCTTTGGATGAAATCAAGAGAGCCTTTACTTGGGCAGGGTCCTCTACGGTTTCCAGGACGAGCCCGATCAGGACAGCCCCGGAATAGTGTCTCTCCCCTACAACTCTCAGGTCCCAGCCTTCCTATTAGGAAAAACCTCTACCCAAGAGGCCTCCTGACAAGCATGGCTTTCGAGTGGTCAAGGCCTTCTTTCCGGGCTGTTTTATATCGTTTGTTATTTATTTCCTCCCTTCTTTTTCTTTCTTTCTTTTTTTTTTCTTTTTAAAATGAGAAATAGTTTATTCTTAGTCAAATACAAGTGACCACGGCCCAGTAACATGGTTTCAGTTTGCCCCAAAGAATATGTTCCAACACAGAAGTGGTTACACAACACTTTTAAAACTCTTTTTGTAAATTAATTTTTTAAAAGTTAGCACACAACATGATGGGTGTCGTTATGGCATTTGCAGTGTATACATCATTAGACTTTGCGCTAATTGTCCTCCCTACCGTCCTCCCCGCCATCCTCCCTTTGCCCAGCTAACACCCTCTGTTTCCACATCACATGCCCAATGTTATCTTTCTCCTTTCCCTTAAGCTCTCTTCCTTCCGTCTCAGGATCTTTCTAGTTTTATGACTTACACACGTACATAAAGACATGTGGACATGCAACCTTAAACCCATCGTCTCATCACTGCTTCTTCTCTGCTGCCAGGGAGATGGAAGGGCTAGTCCCCACAGAGGCACATGTCCATTACTCCATCCCCATAGCACACGATCTTTCTTTCTCAGACAGGGTCTCATGCATCCCAGGCTGGCCTCGATCTTGCTATGCAGCTGAGACTGACCTTGAACTGTCTGATTCCCCTGCCTCCACCTTGTCAGGACTCAGATCACAGATGTGGTTTATGAGGTGCTGGGATCAAAGCCCAGGCCCTCGTGTGTGCTAGGCAACACTATAACAACTAAGCTCCATCCCAGACCCGATTTATACATTCATTTATCCATTCATTTATTTATGTTTTAGGCAGGGACTCTCTCTGTGGCCCAGTGTGGCCATGAACTCAGCAATTTGTCTGCTACGACCTCCCACGTGCTATGATTACAGGTGTGAGCCATCATACACAGCTCTTTTTTATTTCGGGCTTTCCATTATGTAGACAGGTACCTCAACAGAGAATGATACTGACTGGCCATTTTTGTCTTCACAGGTTAAAACGATACTCATTCACTCCTATTTACACCTAAGTTTTTATTGTAGGCAACAGAAGGATTGAAACCAGGGTTTATCGTCAGAGAAGGAAGAAATTCCAGAGCACATTTTAAAGAAAAATTTTCATAAGTTGAGTTTGCTCTTTATAGATTTTCCAACCCATGGTCAATTCTTACGGAATATCTAGAAATACTTATTTATTTTTCTTAGCCTGGTGTGATTAGACTCCAGATAACCTGGGAATTGAACCCGGTTCCTCTGGAACATCAGTCAGGGAGTGCTCTTAACCACTGAGTCACCTCTCTCCTCTTGGAATATCCAGAAATACACAGCTAGTAACAATTCCTAACAAAGGCTAGCTGCCGACTGGAAGCCTTCTGGACACAAAGCAAAAGGATTAACTAATATAAAACTCAGCAGGTAGGCAGGAGAGATGGCTCAGTGGTTAAGGGCACTTGTTACTCTCTTCCAGAGGACCCAGGTTCGATCCCCAGTACCAACACAGCAGCTCACAACGGTCTGTAACTCCAGTTCCAGGGGATGTGATTCTCTTCAGGCCTCTGTGGGCACCAGGCACACACATGGTGCACAGACATACATGTAAGCAAAACACTCATACACATAAAATAAAAATGAATCTAAAAACCAAAAACTCAACAGCCTGGAGCTGGAAACATACAGTGATAGAGCATACATACAAGGCCCTGAGTTCAATGCCAGCACCACACAAGACCTTTCTTTTCTTTTGATCTTTTAAGACAGGGCATCACTATGCAGCCTGGCCTAACTTGGATCTCAGAATCCTGTCTCAGCCTTCCAAGTGCTGCAATTACACGTGTGCCTCCATACAGAGCTGCTTTACATTTGAGGCCAGCCGTAACTATGTAGCAAGTTCAGGCTAGCCTGAACTACAGAGTAAGACCTTCAAAAACACAACAAAACACAAAAGACATACTGAAGAGTCACCTAGTATCCATTTCCTCCCCAGCTCCTAAGATAGATACTGTAATGGACTGTAACACTCCTGACACAGTGGCCTGTGGTCCGGAATGAGTGGGGATCTGAATGTTCCAGACACCTTGCTGTCATGGCTCCAAGCCAACCTCCCTCAGCTGACAGCCAAGAGGCTGAGTGAGGGAACTGGAGCTGGGGCTCCCTTGTGCCTCTCCCTGCCATACTACAGAACATTCCGACCCTGCGGCTTTCCAGTTTGCACCTTCAGGAGCACACAAACTGACTGTGAAGTGACAAGCTGTCGTGAGCAGACTTCTTAGCAACTTTAAAAACCAAAATATTAACGATACTGTGACCTCCCGGAAAGAGGGGACCACTTAAAGAGAAGCTAATATAAAATGGCAACTAGGAAGCTCTGTGACAACGCCCCATGTTCCCAAAAGCATCCCTCCAGAGACGCCACAGACGAGGGCTTGCAGACACGGGTGCAGGTCAGGGCTGTTTTAGGAGGAGCTTTGCATCTCAGCTTACATAGCAATGGCCAGCAAAGGGGAACCCCCTTGGACACGAAGGATGCACCAAAATCAGTGGAGGAATCAAGACCTGGGCTGACTGAGTCGAGTCTGTACTGTTACCAGAGCCCAGGTGACTAGGATACCCACAAACGCTGAGCACCATCCATCTTTGCCACACAATTAGAATTACTTTGAGGGGTATTTTTTAAAACCCAACAACCAAGCCATACCTAATACCAATTCAATCAGAATCACTGAGGGCAGAGAAAGGTGGCAGGTTTTTGACTCTCTGTGTGACTCCAATGCTCACTTAGACTTAGTGTGTACATCACCTGTGCGTCTTAGGTTTGGTTTGGTTTGGTTTTGCTGGGGGTTTTTGTTCTTGTTTTTTTGAGACAAGGTCTCACCATTTAACTCCAGATGGCCTATATCTCACTATGTAGACCAGGTTGGCCTTGAACTCAAAGAGATAAGCCTGCCTCTGCCTTCTGAGTGCTGAGATCCATGCTGTGCACTACCATGTCCAGCTTAGTTTTGTTTTGTTTAAAGGATCTCCCTCTGTAGCCAGGCTGGCCTGCAACTCACTACATGGGCCAAGCTAGCCTTGAACTTGCAGCAATTCTCCTGCTTCAATCTCCCAAGTACCGGAATTACCATGACTGAACCACCACATCCAGATGATTCTGTGCTTCTAACAAGTCCCTGGGATGACAATGCTGCCGGCCTGAGAACCACAATGTGAAGATCAATTAGAAACATCTGTCCTGTCCAACAGGCAACTTAAATTTTAATTCAAATTA